TTCTCAATTAGAAATTAAGCACAAAGATTTTCGAGGTGTTACAGCTACAGCCCACAACAAACAAAAAAATAAGGAAGATATATAAAGGAGGGGAGGGGAGGCCTGTTTACACATTGACCTAAAGCCCAAATAGGTTGGATTGGACCTTACCTAATCTAGATCTGAGCCAGTTCAGACCCGACCCGGTCCAGACAAAATCGGTCAATGGTTAAAGTTTGATCAGTCAATAATCAACGTTTGGCCAGTTATCAATCAACGTTTGACCAACATAAATTGTTTTTTTTTTTAAATATTATTATTATTGTTATTTATTTTAAGGATAATTAGGTTTTTTTTTGTAAAGTATAAATTTGGAATAATTTTAGATTTAAATATTAATGTATGTATATGCATTTTAAAATAAATCAATTTATACAATACGTAGCCAAAGTGACTTCTCTTGTGTTAAGTTGATTTATTTTATAATATAAATGGTTGTATGTGTATAATTTATATGAATGTTAATCAGCCCAAAGGAAGGTTAATATTTATCATAATTGCATTATAATTTGAGGTAATAAATATATGTCAATTATTTAGTTTAGCATGTGAACTATAAATCGACTAAATGAAAATTTACTATTTGGTTTGTTCTTACTATCAGTATTTAATTACTAGTATAAGATATTACTTACATGTTAATATTCTGTTCAAAGATAGAGTATCAATGGAATGTCTAATATCTTAAGATGAGATTTACCTTTATTTAAATTCATTATTATAGTTTATTGTTTATAGTTTTAAGTGAGTATTGATTGACTGGATGTTTTTTGTTCTCTATTCAATTCTTTTTTCTGCTTGAAGTATCATCGCAAATATTAAATTCCACACAAATGTTGAACGACACAAACTTCAAGATATAGAAATATAGTGTTCGTCTTATTCTTGGAGTTATGGATCTAGATTGGACTTTATGGAATGATTAACTCGATCCACTTACTCCTAACAATACTCTTGATGATAAAAAGAGTTTGAAAGATGTGATCGATCAAACTGTATGAGTTTGTTGGTAATGCAACAAGTTATTTTAGAAGTTTTTATGGGCACTATGTTCGATAAGATCACTACAGCTAAAGATTTCCTTGAGTCTCTCGAGCAACATTTTGCCAGGAATGATAAGACTGAAGGTTGTACACTTTTGGCGAACCTTATTTCCATGATATATAAAGGGAAAGGAAACATAAGAGAGTACATAATGAAAATGTCTCATACATGTTAAGCTCAAGGCACTAAAACTGGACTTATCAGAAGAATCACTAGTGTACTTTATTTTGATCTCTCTCTGCCATAATTTAATCATTTTAAGAAGAGTTACAACTGCCATAAGGAATCATGGACTCTTAATGAGCTCATCTCACACTGTTCATCTAGCAATGATCTCAAAGGACAAGAAGAATATGAAAAAAAAACAATAAAAGTGTTGTAGTTCAAATGCAATAGAAAAAATAGCAAAAGACATAAAATGACAGTGTATGTTTCTTCTGTAAAGCTACAGGTCATCAGAAGAAGTAATGAGCTAATTATCATGTGTGGTGCGCAAAGAAAGGTATGTTTATTAACTTTATTTGTTTTAAGGTTAATTTAACGTTTGTACCTAAACACATAGTGGATAAATTCTGGTGCCACTACTCACATAAGTGTTTTCATGCAGGGTTGCCTCTATTGTCGCAAGCCTAGTGAAGGTGCTAG